GATCTACCTTCTTTCTCTTGTTTTTACTCAGAGTCCTGTTTTCACAGTCACCTGGAACTACCGGAAAACCATTGCTTCAATCCTTCTAACGTTGTTACCATAAATATCTCTATCCTTCTGACTTTGCCTGTATTGCTCCATCAGCCTAGGATTCATTTCCATCGCTTCTCCATCTTGGTCTATTCTTGAGCCCAAGAAAACGAGACTATCTACCACCTTCACTTCGTTATGGTCAAGTCAACTCTGAAATTCACAAGGGTGCTGATCGACATTACATGTATCTTCTTAACTTTTAACATTAAACCCAGATTAAAAAAAACTTTTCTCCTTAAATTTTCATAATGAAACCTTCTATATTTTCATTACTTTCAGCTAGCAGAGCGATGTTGTCTAATATATAATTGTCCCAACCATGGGAGGGGAAACAAAGGGGCAAGTCCAGGTATAAAATAAGGGACACTGTTCAACACAACAGCTACAGTGTGTAAGGCAGACAACAGGCATTGGGTATGCAACCCAAGGCTGGTTGACCAGATCCCATTGGTATCTTGGTTTATTCAGGATTTTTACGATTTATATTGTATTTTTCATTGATTTTATCTTCTCTGTAAGCCGCCCAGAGTTGTTTTTTTAACGAGATGGGCAGTGACAAATATGATATATAAATAAATAAACACCCTAAGTCCAGATCGAGCACGTCCCACCTACAGCATAAACTAGTTAGAGAAATAGTCAAAATAAGTAAGTAAGTAAAACGTTTGGGGGGGGGGGTGGAAGGTTGTTGCTGCAAGGAACTCAAAACTAACTTCTTAGCGGACGGTGGAGCGAAGGTTGAAGAAGCCAAGAAGAATAGCAGGAATGCTTTTATGGGAGATGCAAAACTTCTTTAGCGCCCTAAAGAGAAGATTCACATCAGCGAACAGGCAACTGTCCTTAGAAAGTCCCACACCACCCGCCGGCCGTCAGCGATCCTGATTGGAGGCGCCTGTGCCTTTAAAAATCAGACTTCTCACTTCCCCCTCCCGCCGGCCTCCGCTCCATTTCTTAGTCCCCCTAAAACCCCGCCCAGGAATTCCTTTCTAGACTCTGATTGGTGCGACTTCATTTCCCTCGCCCACCGCGGGAAGGTGGTTAGCCTGATTGGTGCGGCGGCAGGTTTCGTCACAAAGGCCTCCTCCTTCCGATTGGTCCCCTTGCCCTGCAGGGCTACTGGCGTCGCCTCCTGTTTAAGGAAAGTAGCGACTTTCAAACCCCTTGTTACATTTGTATCAGAGGAGCGGGGAGGAAGGCGCCCCCGAGGGGCGGTGGTGGAAATCTACGGCGATCCGAAGATCCAGTCACCCCCCCCCAGGAGAGATCCAAGAGGTGAGGATTGGTGAAGTACATTATTTTCTGCAACGTCTGCTTTGCTCTGGGAATTTTAAAAAAAAGGGGGGTCTTTAGAGGAGAAAAGAGATAAAGAACCCCAAGTTGGATATAGATAGCAAATGTAGCGGCCTCGCGGGGAAAGACCGTCTCTGAAATAAACCCGTGCTATTTGGGTGCTGCTCCGCTTTCCGAAAAGGCTTTCAAGCCAAAGTTGCCGGGAAGGATCCGAGAGAGAGAGATTTGGGAACTTTTATTTTTTAAAAGTAGTTTCTACCGGATAAGCCATTTTAAAATTAAATAAACACACAAACTCTTGGGGCGCTCAGAATTAACACCGAATACTTTCTCTTCCCCAAAGTTCCTTTGTGATGCTTTCTTGCAAAGCTTTCAGACTATTTTAGCGTGAGTTCCAGTTTAAGAGAGTTCATTTTCCCTCTTTTTTGTGAACTGTGTGTGTGTGAGAGAGAGAGAGAGAGAGAGGATAAATCAGGCTATTCTCATTTATATGGATAAATAATGCTATTTTATTAAGACAAGCCCGGGGTTCACTGTCTGACGTGGAGGCTTCAGAGTGAACCCATCCTTTTATCTCCAGCCCGATGTTTACTATGGACTATAGAAAGCAAATGGGGGTTGTAGAAGAATGCTTACTGTACAGTATTGAGAGTTATAATGGGTGTCTGGCTTTTGAAAGGAAGAGTCTGCTGACAGAAGGTGAACCTGGGATACTCGTAAACCATCTAGAGTCTGCGCAGATGGAGACGGTGTATACATTTCATAAGTAAAGATAGATAAAAGCCTATTTCCTTTCATTATCCTCACATACTTTTTGCAAACACGCTGCTTTCAGTTTCACTTGTTTTCTATTTACATCAGACCAGAAAGATTCCATTATCAGACATAACCTCCCCCCACATTTTTGCAGTATATGTTTTATATCCAAATGTCTTGCCTTTAAGATTCTAATATTGACTTTCCCAACAGCTACCAACCCAACTTTGCATAATTGTCTTGTTTGATAATGTAATCAGCTGTTGCCTTCCCAAGCAAGAGCTCTCATCGTGATTCATACATTACCACTTTTCAACTGTAAATACACAGATGAGACTCTGGAATGATGTAGCCTTTGTTTCCTGATCTCCTTCTTTGTTCATTTATTTTATTGCAGGTACATCACACATAGAGATTAAACTGTAGCCCATTTAACTGTGTTGTGATTAAGCCACAATTGCACACATTGTAGTAAGCCTTAACCTGTGGTTTGCAGATCAGTGCTGAACATGCATATATTTAACCAAACTCTCTTATGGGTTAAAATACATGGACTCGGTGGGGGAATGGAAGATCTCAGGTGACCTGTATCTCTCTGTATGATTAAGTTCTCACATTGCAATAAGCCATAATGTGGATCATTTTGGCTTAGCACGTTGGTTAAATCCAGCCATAGTAGTTTGTAAACTGGTTTACAGTTTAGCACAAAGTATGAATTCAGTTAGCGATGGCGCATTCCAACATGCTTAAAACCATAATTGTGTGAATCCAATCTATACGTGAGGGAGGGATAAGAATGTGTTGCATGAATAGCAACAAATCTTGGGGATTGCATGTAATTCAAAAAAGGCAGTGAGATACTTCAGCATAATCATACCCTTGAAATTCTTGCATCTCACTTTCCACACCATCTAGTGCAGTGAAATAAAAGTATCCAGCATATTCTTTTGAAACTCATCTATTTAAAAAAAAAAAAAAGCTAATTCAGCAGCAAACAGTCATTTTTTCTGCCTCTGCAGAACACATTAGAGAAAGAATGTATTCTAGGAACCCATTTTAAAACCTGCTGAAATGAGCAGAAACCACCAGTTTGTCCTTAAAAGACTGCCTTTCTGTAAATAATAAAGCCTGTATCAAGAATATCCAATTTGGAATTTACACAAAGGCTGCTAGTTGACAGAGAGGCTCTTAATTTGCAGTTAGTTCTGTATGTTTTGTTTAAAAAACAAAACAAAAACAGCTTACCTGCACAAATGGGCTCTTGCAACTGTAGCTTGTCTTTAAGAGTTGGAAATGACCTCAGACAGGAACTTACTCCAGTTGCTGCCCTGCCTTTGAAGCCTTTCTTCAGCCATGAGGTCTGAAGACACAGAGATTGGTTAAATCAAAGCTTAAGCAGCTGTATCATTTAAAGGGGCTGAACTGGTAGGTCAAGAACTCTGCACTTTGATATCTCCTTTTATATACTACCCCCCTGTAAAATAGTCATGGTAACTGACTTAATATAATGGCAAACACACCTGAAAGGAAAAATGTGTGGGGCTGGTGAGGGGGAATTAGAAAGCTGATATATCATACATATCCTAAAATGAAATTACGTAATGGAATTGCTGGAGATAACTTTTCAGAAAAGGCTGAGAGTTAGTCTCAACGCATTTGGAAGCACCAGGCCTGATTAGCTAGTCTGAAGGAATATGGGAATTCTTTATGTTAAGAATCAATGTATTAGGAATCTGGGGGGGGGGGGGGGGGGGGCTGGTAGACCATTGTGGCTGGCTGAAAGTTGATTGCAGTAGATGGTAAACACCTAGCAAGGGTGTTAGAGCTTGAAATGCTTTTGAACACAGCTATTTCCCAGTTTAAGAACGAGTTCTGTTCCCAAGGTCTGCCCTTAAGTCGAATTTGTATGTACACCGGAACAGTATTATTATATAATACTGCATAAGTACTGTTGTGTAATGAACTCAAACCGTTGTGTATTTAACTTGAACTGTGTATTTAACTTGAATTTTGCTACAATAGGCTCCGTCCTTAACTATGGGTTGTCGGTAAGCCAGGCATTCTTAACCCGGGGACTACCTGTCCTCTGAACATCACGTGGCCAGTTTGAAGAGCCACTACGGTACAATGGTTAGAGGGAAGATCCATTTTCAAATCCCACTGAGTTTTGCAGTTTCTCTTGCTTGACCTTCACAAAGTTATGGAGGTCAAAATGGGGTGTTGGTCCCCTGTAGTGCCTTGAGCTCCTTAGAGCAGTGGTTCTTAAAATGTGGTCTTAGGACCCCCGAGGGTCCCCCAAGACCCTCTCAGGGTCCGCAAAAATCAAAATTATTTACCAGCCTATGTTGAAAAATAATACAATATTAAAATCCCATCAACCCCATTGTGAGAAGTGGTAGCAGCAATGAATGTGTCCATTTTAATTTTTAATACAATACATATTGATAAATATAACCATATAAGCTAAGCTCTTTGGGGATCCTCCATAATTGTTAAAAGTGGGAAGGGGTCCTGAGAGAAAAAAAGTTACAGAAAAGAGAAGTTAGAAAAGTTAGAAGTTAGGGAAGAGAGAAAAAGAGAAACTGTTAGTCCTTCGAGGTAGTCCAGATGAGAAGCACAGGTGTGAGTACTAACTCTATCCTTATTGTAAGGTTACATTAACAAAATCTTACAAAACTGAAAGTATTTTCCTCTCTTTTACTCTCCAGAAAACTAGGGAGGGTCCCTTCCGAGACGTTTGCCACACCCCTGTTCCTTCTGCGGGCTCAGCTGCCTCTTATCTGACTATTGCCTAGTCAGCAGCTCTTCCTCCTGTCTCCCAAGGTCATTCCCACATACCCATTACAGAAACACTGCCTTAGAGGAAAGATAGGATACAGGAAAGAAGTGATATATACTGTAAATCAGGTCCTTATGACTTGCTGAACAACCACAGTTGAAGTAATGGCTTGGCTTGAGGTCTGAATACTGCTAATACTTGCTCTGAAAAGCGTGCATTGAAGAAAATCAGTACAGCCTTAAAAAGTCTTTCTCTCTCAGCCCAACTCCACAAGGTTGTTGTAGGGAAAATAGGTGGAAGAAGGAGTATGGGTATGTTTGCCATCTTGAGTTGTATATGAAAAAAAAAAAAAGTGGGATAAAAATCTAAAAAAAAAAAAAACGATTTACCTGGTTTGTTTAGCCACTATGATTGTTTCCCAACCACTCCCATTTGGCTCCACCACCTGCCCGAGGGAGTAGCCAAGCGAATCAGGAAACTTGTGTCTATGGTTTGTTTAGCTTTCCATCTAAACCAGGAGACTGGGTTGTCGCCCTCCTAACAAGCCACATGTTGAAGCCTAACTCTGGCATATCATAATATGTGTCATGTTTAAGCTTGTATGGACAGAACATTGTTACATGATTTCAACCCTCCCTCCTGCAACCCTGCAAGGCTGCTAGAATTGTTTTCCCCACATTAAGTCGAGAATGCTGTCTTTTTTTGAAGGCAACTGCAAATTTTGTGACTAAGACTCTGAACGAGCTGTGTGGCGGCTTCTTCTCTGCCGATGCACTTTCCCGTGATCTTCTGAAAGCATGAGCGGTATCTTGTAGCAATTTGCTGATTCCTCAACTTCTTAAGCAATAGTCGAGAGACTGGAGCGGCTGAAACAGGACAGACAAGGCCAGGATAAATGCGTGGATAGGCAGTTATTTAAAAAGTGTGGTGGAACAGGGTTATGTTCTTTGCTTAATAATTCAATCTCTTTCCATACCACAAAAGACTAAATTGAAACAGAAGCATCTGTGGATTATGCTTACTTTGGTACGGTTATTAAGGGGTTTGTATTTCACCTTTAAGTATTTTAAGGCAGCTAACAGATAATTAAAAAAATAATAATAATTAAAATAAACTGACACATGAAATCAAGTTAAAATAGCTTTTTAAAACAAAATTACACATTTTTAAAAAGGCCTGGGAGAACAAATCATCTTTGATGCAACCCTCCCACCCCAAAGGAGGGGGCTTCCACACGAAGCCCCCAAAGCCTGTCCTGATGGGCAGTGTAGTCCAGGCTTTGGTATCCACTTTTCCTGAGTAAAGAAACTTCAGTAG